AAGCATTTATTTAATTCACCTTCTCTTATCCCAACCTACTCCCCACTAATCAGAGGCCCACGTGGATTTACAATCCTCTCACTCATGTAATCAATATTAAAAGAACAATGAAAAAATAAAAATAAAACAAGATCTATGAAGGCCAAGTGGGGGTGACTGGAGGTGACCTCCATGTGGAAGGCACAACCCAGTGTCCTCAGCTGCTCTGCAGATGCAGGCCTAGTCGGAAGTCCTGGCTGTCTGGTTGCTGCAGCCCTGAAGGGTGTATGTCCCTCTCAGTCCCAAGCGGCTCCCTGGTTATGGTTCTGAACTCAAGAAGCTGAGTGCAGAGGGGCATGGCAGGTCAGAGTGCAGCTGGCTACAGGCATCCTCTGACGGAAGAGGGCTTTCCAGAAGGGATTCTCTTGATAAGCCAAGGGCAACATGACTCCAGGAAGGATGGGAGACGTGCTGGGACAGCTCATGCTGCAAGCTAGGGGAATCCTGGAGGAGTCACGGGCCCAGTGTTGGGGTGCACTGGGGAGAGCTGCTGCAGGCCACCCCGGCATCCCCGTTGGTTTGAGTTCTGACCCGCTCCCTACTAATGCGCCTGAGGAGGCAGAGGTGTACCATGGCATGGGACGCTAGGATGGAGTTCCAGGCTGCAGCCCGGCTGTAATGGGCATTTGGGCAGAGTGAGCCAGTGGAAGAGAGCTGTCTCCCTGATTTTCAAATGAACAAAAATCTTTGAGAGATGACGAAGAGGTGGACCCATCCCGGATCATCCCTTGCCCAGAAGATCGGGTACCTAGAAGGAAGCTGGGTCCGAGCTCAGGAGATGCTGCTGAGAACTGAGCCAATTGTTCAGGTAAAAACAGTTACCTTGGCACAGGTGTGATGGCTCAACAGGTTAATCCTTCACCTATTAACGCTAGGATTCTATATGGGTACCAGTTCGTGTACCGAAAGCACCACTTCCCACCCAGCTCCCTGCTTGTGGCCTGGGAAAGCAGCATAGGACAGCTCAAAGCCCTGGGACCCTGCTCCCACATGGGAGACTAAAAAGAAGCTCCTGGCTCCTGGCTCCTGGCTTCAGATCAGCTCGGCTTCAGCCATTGCGGCTACTTGGGAAGTGAACCAATGGATGGAAGATTTGCCTGTCTTTCTGTAAATCTGCTTTTCAAATAAAAACAAATACATCTTTAAAAAGGCAAGGTTATTGACCAAGTAGCTAAGGGGGTGAGAAAAGTAGACAAAATAAATTCTCCCTCCTGTGGATCAAGTCTCTGTCCTAGAAGGTGCCCTTTGACCCTGATGCTCAGCGCAGGTGTAGCCCACAACAGGTACCCACAGTTCAGCTAGTTCTGGGTGGACGCATAAGGAGGGTGGCTGCGGGGGGAGGGAGGTCCTGGGAAGCTCGCTCTTTCTGTACTGAATGGACTTTGGACCTAAACAAGTGAGTCTGACCACAGCAAACCTGGGGCCTCAGGTAATGGCCAGCTGATTTTTAGGGTGGAAGTGGACTGGTCAGAGCTGTAGTGCACAAGCACAGCCTCCAGGGGGCGGCAGTCACCCAAGTCAGCCGTTGTGTCAGGCAGGGACTGGGAGCCCAGAGTTGCTGGGTTTCGGTTTTTCAAAGTTAGCCTGAAATCAGAATTTCAGGTGGGCTTTCAAATAACTCAACAATTGATAGTATGTTTTAGTCACAACATGCCAGAAGGCTGTCACTGGCTGTGGGCCATAGCTTGTGCCTTCAGATTTAGGGTTCAATTAAAGATCAGCCCTTGGGAGGTCAGTCTGGGAGAGCAGTGTCCCCATCATCTGCTTCCAGAAAACCATGGTGATCCACAATGGGGTCCCTGAGGACGAGGACAAAGTAGATGCTCCTGTGAGGAGTTACTCGCCCACTCATAATCAAGTCAACAACCTATTTATTACCTCCCATCAGAGCTAAGCTCAGCTCCTGATCCAACAAACATGGCCAGTGCTCGGGGAGCCCCTAGGGGACCCCTGCTCGAAACACAATGCATCATGGACTGCGTTTGTGATATACATGAGAAACTCTGGTGTGGCATGGGAGAGTAAAAGTTGGTTCTGCAGGCTGGCATTATGGCACAGGGGCTTAAACTTCTGCTTGAAACACCAGCATCCCCTAGAGGTGCCAACTCTAGTCCCAGCTGTTCCACATCCAATCTGGCTCCCTGCTAATGCACCTGGTAGGGCTGTGGAAGATGGTCCAAGTGCTTTGGCCCTGCTCTCTTGGAGTTCCAGGGCAATGAATCAGCATTTGAAACCTATCTGTGTCTGTGCATTTCCTTCTTTCTCTGTGTAACTCTTTCAAATAATTAAAACAAACAAAAAACGTTAGCTGTGGCTGTTAAGCAGAGAACTGTGATGACACCCAAGATGGGCGGCTGAGGTTAGCAAGGGGAGCCCCACCAAGCTCTATCCCGCTCCACACCAGTGGGTACCAGGGTGGTTGCCAGCCAGAGGCAGGAGCCATACAGCCTGAACCTACGGAGAGACTGAGTCCTCACCTCTCCCGATGTTGGCTGCGAGGGCAGTCAGGGCCATCTGGCTCGTTCTGTTTCTTCTTCTTCCCTTGGCCCCAATCCCAGCAGTCCACTAGTCCCCAGTGGGATGTGGCGCTGAGGCTTGCTCACACTGGGTGAAGCTGGGCCTTCCAGGCCTGTTTTTACAATCCAGGGGCCCACACACGAGTCAGAACACTTTCCCCGTGTCCTTCACGTGCGGGACATCAGTCTCCGCTGTCCGAGTCCAGGCCACAGGGTCTCCTCTGGACCTCACTTCACCCGGGCAGAAGAGGAAGTGGCAGGGGTCACAAGACTTGGCTCAGGGACCTCCACCCTGCACTTCCTTCCAAGACAGACAACACGAACTTCCTGACCCAGCCAAGCACACTTCATCTGGATGCCAACTGCAGCCCAGGGCTGAGGACAGCCCCAAGGTCAGAGGTGAGGTGGCAGCCAGCTTGGGCATCCCCTGGGAGCTGCACCCTGCAGGCCCCAGCAACCTTGCTTCCACCAGCTCATGGCTCAGGCGAGCCTCTGGAGGGAGGTCCACGCACTGCCACGCGGCTGGAAGTGTGGCCTTTTCCCGCACTTTGGTTTCCACAGCCCTGGGTGAACACAAGCTCACTGGCACCTGTGCGACACCAAGTCTGTCCGTCTTGGGTCTTTGTAACCTGCTTGTGCCGAGCCGTCTCCAGGATCCTGTAGGCCCCATCTCAGCCATGCCAACCTGTAGCAGCTACTCCACGCAGACAGGTCTTGGCTGAAGCTGAGCCCTCACGCAGCCTCCCCGTTGCCCTGTAGATGCGGCTCAGAGCCAATCCTTATATTCAACCATCTTCTACCTTGCTCCCGCTGGCCCCAAGTGGCAATTCACTCTAAGCTTTTCAGAATTCCTATGATCCTCAGTCCATGTTTAAAAGCCAATTTAAGACACATAGAAAATGAATCAGTTCCAACTCAAACCGAACCCCACTAGCTCCTGGCTGAATGGTACCGTCAGCTATATGCAGTGCTAAACAGAACCCAAACAGTTTTAAGTGTGTTCTCTTGATCCAGATACTCACTCCTAACACAGGAGGTAAGCTGAAGTAGGCTGATTTTTTTTCTAAGTCTAGTAAAACCTAAATTAAGATACAGAGTTTGGGCTAGCATTGTGACACAGTGGGTTAAACACCTCCTGCAATGCCAGCATCCCATATGAGCACTGGTTTGTGCTCCTCACCAATGTGGGAGACCCACACAGCATATGAGGGTCCTGGCCTTGGCCTGGCTGAGTCATGCCGTTGTGGTCATTTGGGAAGGGACTCAGTAAATGGAAGATCATCTCTCTATGTAATTCTTTTTTTAAGATTTATTTTTTATTGGAAAGGTGGATATACAGAGAGGAGAGACAGAGAGGAAGATCTTCTGTCCGATGATTCATTCCCCAAGTGAGCACCACGGCTGGAGCTGAGCCAGTCTGAAGCCAGGAGCCAGGAGCCTCTTCCAGGTCTCCCATGTGGATGCAGGGTCCCAAGGTTTTGGGCCACCTGAGACTGCTTTCTCAGGCCTCAAGCAGGGAGCTGGGTGGGGAGTGGAGCAGCCTGGCTTAGAACCGGTGCCCATATGGGATCCTGGCACTTTCAATGTAAGGACTTTAGCCACTAGGCCAATGCGCTGGGCCCTGTAATTCTAACTTTCAAATAAATCTTTATACACTTTTTTCAGACAAAGCGAGTCACAGCAGCACATGCCGAAGGGCACAGGGCCCTCTGCACCAGCACAGTCATCCTCAGGTATCCTCCCGTAAGAGCTTGCCATGCAGGAGTTTTCACAGTGATGTTGAAGCAGCAAATGATCCAGTGTCAGAGGCTAGGGAAGCGCTCAAAGGCTTTCCCTGAGCTAAGTCATCACTCTGACCCAGCGGGCGCTATGGCTTCTGGGTACACGGTGAAGCCACTTGCCGACCCCGAGGACCCAAGTCAGCTGCTACTCCAAGGAAAGAAGTCCCTCTGTCACCTCACAGGAGCTGCTGAGCAGCACAGGACGTTGCGGGCACATTCTCTCAAGTCAGGGCGTGGCCGACACCTCTCCCTGTGCCTCCCCTAGCAAACCAACCATCCAACACCCCAAGATCCCACGATTCCCTCTGAACTGTCCTCTGGAAACACCATTCGTGCCATTAATCTGCTTCTTTAACAGGGACAGAGGAACAAAAAAAGGATTGTTTGCAAATAAACATCTGAAAGAATATAGTAACAGCTGATCTGGGCCGAGGCAGCCAACAAAGAGATGATTGTGGAGCAGACAAAGCAAGGGCCTGGGCAGGCGGGAGCCCAGGGCAGGCGGGAGCCCAGGGCAGGCGGGAGCCCAGGGCAGGCGGGAGCCCAGGGCAGGCGGGGAGGCGGCGAGGAGCCTGCGGGGATGGGCGCTAGGGCTTCTACCAGCCCAAGGCCCGCCCCAGCACCAGGGGAGTTTGCCACCTGAAGAGAAGGAAGGCACTGCCACCACAGCACTGTGCAGTTTTATTAACCATTCAAGTACAGTAGCATCTGGTAAGATGGGGACAGAACTTGGGGTTGAAAAGTGAACAGATAATCAGCATCTAACAGTTGGGAGGGGCCACTACATACTCTTTTCACAAACATTTTTTTCACAGGGCCAATACAGTACTAGCCATTAACCCAGTACACTGGGTGTACTGAAGTAGAAAAGATGCAAGAAAAATAGCTACATTAGAAAGACCAACACTTTAGAAAAAGAGTAAAACACTTGCAGTTTCTCCCCTTTAGCCCCTAAAACACCACCTTACAGTCTGGATCTACCTATACAGTCCTACATCAGCTTCTAGGGTATTGTCAGGAGGGAAAAAATAAAATGACACTGGCCAGTACAGTCTTTGGATATTAAGGAAGGGGAAGGGGAGAAAGTCAATTCTCAGAACAACTTAGTCAGCCTCGGTCTCATCCGCAGGGTCTTTGGATTCTTTGTTCTTCCGCACTTCTTCAATGTGCTTGTCCTGAAAGGAAATTGCAGGTAAGCACCATCAGTCCAGCCACAAGCCTGTCCCGTCACACCCCCGGCCCCGGAGGCCCCCGAAGCACAGCATCCCCCTGCGTCCCCCTGGAGCCTCCCGCAGCATGTGGGGACCCTGCAACCTGCCACTGGCTGCCCCCCAAGACGCACAGTGACCTGGAGGTCACTATGGATGCCACCTTAAACAAGCCCCTTCACGAGGGCCTCTAGGCTGCCAACACACTGAACAACAAGCACGGGGACACCGCCAGCTTAGCCCGTGAGCTCTCCGAGTCCAAGGCCTGAAGCCCACCTTCTCCCGCAAGCGCTCCAGCTTGGCGGCCATCTGCGCCTCCCGGTTCTCCTTGTTAGCCTCCATCTTGTGGGTCAGCTTCTCTTCTGCCATTTTGCTGAAGTTGTTGTTCTCTTCAATGGCTTTCTGCAGTACTTCTTTCTCGTGCTCTCGCTTCTCAGCAAGCTGCTTCAAGACCTCCGCCTCGTGGGACTGGAAGAAAGTTAACAAACAGGCTAGGCTCTGCAGCAGCAGGGGTTAAAATATGACAACAGAAACTACCAGACTGGGGGGAGAGAATGCAGTTCTTGGCCTAAGGCTGAGGTAAGCACCTGAATCCTTCCTATTGCAAAATAACAGGAAAATCCCAAATTTTTTTCTAGTATTTGTATTCACGTTGGAAAACTGCCTATCTGCTGGTTCAGGGGTTTCCTGCCCAACCATTTGTAAATTTGGAGGTCTCCACCCCCCAGGCATCCTGGTGAACTGAGTGGCGCAGGACTGTGAAGTGACGCGGCTGGCCGTTTAACCGCCAGGGTTGCCCAGAGAAAACCACTCCGTCCCAGTCAGAACTGATCAGTGCATACCCATCACCACCCCTCAGCAAGTGACAGAAACCTGAAAAGAGCCTCCAAACTGCTAGTTAACCAGGACGATCTCCAATGGGCAGCAGAGATCCATGGGCGTGCAAGGAAGCACCTGCAGCTGGCCCCACCAATCCTCTGCTGCGAAGCCCTTCTCACAACGGGAGCTTCACTGCATTTAGCTGGTCGCTGGGTAACAGGCAGGCCAGGGTTGATCCCTAAAAACTTTCCTGTCTAGCCAGTGACTGCATCACTTGCTGCTGCTCCACGACTTCCAAACAGACAGGAGTGGCCAGAAGGCAGTGCACGTGTGCATGCTCTGCCCTTGCTGGGGAAAGGACTCACAGCCCTCAGTGCGTGACAGAGAGGTGCCCAGTCCCCGCCCAGGGCTCCCAAGGAGCCTGGACAGGGGGGTGTACGCCTGTGCAGCACGGGCTGCCTTCTGCTCAGACCAGCCACGCTCAGCTGGACACATTCCTACTTGCCCCGTTTGTGCCTTAGTTTCCTCAACTTTAAAATTAAACCATCTATCCCAAGGAAGATGATTGAGAATTCATGTAATGTCATTTACTAATTTCTATTTATCATTTCATTTGAACATCAGAGAAGTCGCCAGAGACATTCCATCTGTTGGTTCTCCCCTCAAATGGCCATGCCAGCTGGGGCTGGGCCAGTGAAGCCCACCTGCTAGCTCCCACAGTGCCAATCAGCTGGAAACTGGAATCAGAGTGCAGCCAAGACTCAAACCCAGGCACGTGGGATACGGGCCATGCACGTCCCAGAAGCCTGCCCTTGAGTAAAATTCTTAATGATGCGAGTCAGGCTGACAGGCAGAAAACACTCTAAAATGTTGACAAGGGTTATCGCGGGGAGTGGGATAATCAAGACCTTAAACTTCCATTTATAAAGTGTGTTTCATAATTTCCCTGCTGTAAGGATGTTAGTACTTATGATTTTTCTGACTAGTTGTTTTTAAAGATGGCTACTTTCAACAGAATGGCATAGATAAAATAAAAACCAATTAAGCACACCATATTATTAGTCATTTAAAATACTTTTATTGAGCCCAGTTCAATGACCAATGGCTCAATCCTCACCTTGCAAGTGCCAGAATTTCACATGGGTGTGGTTGGTGTCCTGGCTGTTCTGCTTCCCATCTAGCTCCCTGCTTATGGCCTGGGAAAGCAGTAGAGAAAGACCCAAAAGCCATGTGCACCCAATGGGAGAACCAGAAGAAGCTCCTGGCTTCCCCTAAACTCTGGCCCTTGTGGCCACTGGAGGGGAGAGGGAGCCAACAGATAGAAGATCTGTCTCTCCTCTCCGTAAATCTGATCTGCCTTTGCACTAGAAATAAGTAAATATTTTTAATTTTACAGCTCTCACAAAGCAGAACCAGACACAATCACCTGCCAACTCATCTTCTGTCTTCCAAAGGGGGAGCACGAGGCACAAGCGGTGGTCTAAGACAAGCCCATGCTTGAATTCTGGGTACTACACATACTGAGCGACTGGAGGGAAAGAACGTTCCCGGGACAATTCTAATCCCTCTCGTGTGGGGTGACGTCTACCCTGCAGACCCCGTAGGGTCATGTGTTAAAGGAGAAACGTGCATTAGGAGCTGACACAAAACAGCAGTCCAGGAAACAATGGCGTAGTAACCTCCAGCCACCTACTGCGGAACCCAACACACACACAGCCTGTCCCCTGGGATGGTTACCTTGCGTCTTTCCTCAGCAGCTTCTAATTTCTTCTGAATTTCCTCCAGAGAAAGGTCCTTCTTCTTTGGAGGGGAGAGGGGGAAGTCTGGGACCGACTCTTTGGACCGAGGGCTGAGAATGAGCTCGAAAGCCTGGCCCGAAGCACGTTTTTCCAGTTCCTTCACCTGAATATCTGCAGTTGATCACATTGGTGATAATTGAGAAAAACGGGTTTCTCCAAATCAACTGTTCCATAACGTTCTAAAAATCAAGTGACTCTCGGAACAGAACTAAGGCTGAATAAAGGCAATAGACTTGCAGGCAAGACATGATTATCTAAACACCATCTCCCAGAAAAAAACAAGGCTCAACATTTTTGGACTCGGAGTATTCTGAGACACTGGCGTTTGATAATCACATCCGTGAACAAAAGAAAGACTTGTGCAAACTGTACAGCTTGCGTCGGACCAAGCCAGATCATCCAATCATGAAATAGTGGAGTTCTTAGTACATTCAAGTGAGAAATAATTTTTTCCTAACTGCCCTCCTATTCAGGAAACAGATTTCTTCTAACACCAAAACACAAGCGCCAAATCAAAGACTTGGACCTAGCCGCCTAGCGTAGCCCGTAAGCCCGTCACAAGTCGAGTGTACCTAAATTGATTACCTACCAGAAGAAGCCATGATGAAAGGGAGACAAGGCTGGCAGTATATTCTACAGAATCCACTGGTAGGAAGCCCTGGAAACAGGTTCAAAAGCATGCAATCAATTTCTCTGCATTTCTACGCGTCATCCACACAAAGAGATCTTAGACCACATGCACATACATCAGCGTGTGGGATTAAATCAGACACCATCCACCAAGAAGGTGATGAAATCATTAAACCCTGGGACATCCTGGAAAATCGGACCCCAATGACAACACACAAGCTAGCTCAGCTTGTTCCTTCAAAAACAAACAAACAAACAAAAAAACCAAAACAAGCTTCGATTTTTCAGACTGGATGAGGCCAAGTCCCAGTTCGTGCCCCCGCCCGCTGGCGTGGGAAGAGACCCCAGACCCCACTGGGCGGCGAGACCGGAGCCATCTTAACACAGCCTCCTTCTCATTGTGCACCTTAACACCCGCCCGGCTTTGTCTGCGCCTGCCATGGTGGGTAGCTGTGCGCCCTGGCGGTTGCCGGCCGACAACGTCACGCTCCCATTGTTCGCAACGCTCCAGCTACCTGCCCAGCAGCGGGCATCTCTAGGTTTTACGTCACGGTATCTGCTGCCAGGTGTCACCCAAAATCCTTTTGTGGATTTTTTTTTTTCAAATCGCGATTCTTGTAAAACCCCATCCCTCGCCACGCCATATTACCGAAAGCAAAAGACTACAGGATCTCGACCACAAGAAATATAAAAAAAAAAAGAGAGAGAGAGAAAAATCCCTGGGCAGTGACAACGCCTTAGAGGCGCGGTGAACCGGCCCCCCCCACCTGGGCGTGGCCCAGCCCGGGAGGGACAGCCAATCAGAGCCCGCCTTGCGCGCCGGGCCCCTGGCCCCGCCCCCTTCCTCCCCGCGCCTTTTCGAATCTCCGCGAACTCGCAACATCCCAGAGCCCGCGCGCGTGGGCTGGGGAGGGCTGGGCGTGGCTAACGGTCCGATCCGGGTAACTCCGCCCCTCCCGGGCCGGTCGCGCGCGGACGGCTCACCCCTCCACTCCCCCGCCAGCTCCCGCCAAAAAACACCTCCAGGCCGCCGCGCCGGGCCACCTCCTCCCGGCTGCACCCTGGCCGCGAGGCAGCGCAGAGCCTTGGCGGGGCGCCGCCCCTCAGTGCCGGACACTGGACGTCGCGGTCTGACCCGAGCAGCAGCAGCTCTCCCCCGACCAGGGGCGCTACTCCGCCCCCTCCAGACAATAGGGACCCCGGCAGGGCCGCGCCTGCCAGGTCGGAGCGGCCGAGGGCAGAAGGAAGGAGGGAAAAAAAAAAAAAACCGAGGGCCCACGCCCCCTATTGTCTCCTCGCTGGCACCCCCGGGACCGGCGCCGGCAGCTCCCGCAGCTGGCCGCGCCCCCTCCCCACCGCGGCCGCGCCCCCAGGGAGCGGAGGGGGACAAAGCCGAGGCTCCGCCCGAGCCCCGCACAAAGCCGAGCGCCCCCCGCCCCGCAGCCCCGTCCTCGGGCAGGGGTCAGCCGCCACAGCGCGAGCCCTGCCCGCCGGCCGCGTCCCTGGCGCCGCTCGCAGCCCCCGGCCGGCCGCCGTCACCGCCGCGGCTGCGGGGCCCGGAGCCCCGCACCCACCTGCTCGGTCCGAGCCGCCTGGCCACACTCTGAGCAACCAACAGACCTGGGCGCTCACAAAAGCGCCAAACAGCGACACGTGACCTCCCCGCGGGGCTCCGCATTGGCTGCGAGCGGCGGCACGTGCCGGCCCCACCCCGCGGCCGGGTGGGCGCCGCCCCCACCCCCACCCCGGGACCCCGGAGCACCTCGGGAAGTGTAGTCCGGGCTGGGAGGGCAGGGGGACAATGCAAGGGGTTCGGGGGCGCGAGGGGTCGGAAGGGGGTAGTTAGCCTCAGGTGTGAACCCAGCGAGGGAAGTGCGTGAGTGGCCGTGGGCCCCCTCCCCGGACCCGGGTCTTGAACCAGGTGTCTAGCTCTAGGAAAAGGGCGGGACGGGGGTCCCTCCCTGCCTCTCGGACCGCTGCCGGCTGGACTCCGCCTCTGGCCAGCCACGTGCCCCGCATCGCCCCGGGGCCGCGGGTGGACGCAGCAGTGTCCCTTCTCGGGCCACCACCCCTCCACCTCACAGCCACCCCCCACCCACGGTGCACCTTGTGACAGGACAGCGCCACCCCAGAGTCTCCTGCACGACCCCCTACCTCTGGCGCTCCGCTCGGGACGGACCCCGGCGTGTCACCTGTATTGTGACATCATCGTAATCCCTAGCACCCCCTCCCCAGCGCTAACAGGTCCCGGGCGTGGCTCTTCCCTCCCTGAGGGTATCCTCGCTCCCACCCTCAACGTCCCGAGCTGCCGACTGCGGACCTGTGCAGACCCGCGTGTAGCCGGGCAATTCAATCTGTTTGGGTGGAACAAAGCCACCCGGCTTAAATGCAGCCTCCATCTGTTCTGCCCAGTCTCTGGCCGACGCTAGGGAAAGAAGAGCCATCGCAATCGCAGACTCCCCCGACTGCATTTCTGTGTTGCTTTTGTTCTCAGAGCACGTGCTCCCCGAGCTGTGTGGGTCTGTTTTTAAGAATCAAAACAAAAGGAGGCGCAAGGTCACTGATTCCCCCACGACCGGCCGCGAGATGGGAGCCAAAGCAGAAGCACGGAGGACACGGGTCTGACCCTGGCTACCTACTGTTGACACGAAGTCCGAACCCTGTGAGAACAGGAGAAATATAATATACACGGTTCCCAGACTTCCCCACTCCTGGCTAAGGGCTGTGTTCCTAGCGGTGGTGGTGGTCATGACCCACAAGCACCGAGCAGGACATCTATATTGTGCTCATGGTATGGGTCTCCCCAAACCCAGAAATGAATAGGACCAACGCCCTGAAAACAGTCCTCATCTAAGAAGACTCTCACATCTAAGTTAGTCTCTAGGGATGTGCTGGAGATAAAGTGCCATTAATAGGGACAGAGACAATGAAAGTGGTCACGGGGGAAACCACACAAAGCAAACAATTAGCCCCGCAGCCACTGCCCCCGCTGTGCTTGCAGGCGACCCTTTCCTCCAGCTGTCGTGGGGTGAGCCGGTACCCCAGCCCGCTGAAGGGGTTTTCATTCAGCTGGTGAGCTGCAGTGATTCTGATACCGGCTTGGGGGAGGTGTCTCTGGGATCCAAGGCTGCATTGAGCTGTCAGGTGTGTGAACAGAATTTCACAAATTATTTTCAAATGCTCGAGAGGGATGGGAGAAGACCATGCTTTAAAAAAAAAAAAGTGATGGATAATCAGACAACACAAAAGAATGAGGAAGCCACAGGCCAAGAGGTCCCTTCTCCAGGACTCCGCCTTCTAGAAGTCTTTGTGTTCTATCTGCAGCTTTGCCAACTGAGGTCTCACACCCCCCCCCGCCCCGTGTGCACGCACAGGGATATATTATTTTTTTAGATACAAGAAATTGCCACGCCCAACCTCACATTTCTGACTATTTGTGTTGTGACAAGGGAGAGAAATTAACCTTTCAAAACACATGGATTATTTTAAAGCACTTGCATCACTTCCCCCACCTTTCTCCCTAGAGCAGATGTCTATTTCCATGGAAACCACAGCCAGGAATGTAGATGTTAAGATTCACGTAGGTTTTTCATCTTTCCCGGCAATGCCACTTGGAGCCGGCGTTGTTTGATGCCGGATGCTGTGAGCTGGTGACAAGGCTCTCACCCGAGTCTTCACTGGTGCTGGAGGGTGGAGTTGTGGTGAGGGGCGTGGGAGGGGTGGTACCCTTGGGGGTGTTACTAGAAATAGAAAGGTGCTTGCGGGGTGGGGTGATCCCTGTTCCTTAGGGTGAGGTAACCTTTATGGGAGCCAGACCCTTGCTCACTCTGGTCCGCTCTTTTGGGTGTTCCCATATGACAGGAATGTAACATGTCCCTGAGCTCATTTGGGTGTACAAAATTTCTGATGTGAGCATTGTTATTTTCATAGGGTGGAGAAAATGCATATTATGGAAAAAAAAAGCTATGCACGAATCTCAAAGATTTTCTGGCACCAAGATAAGATATTTATTTTTTTATTTGAGAAGTAGACAGAGAGCTGGTTTATGCCCTAGATATCTGCAACGGTTAGGGTGGACTACAGTGAAAGCCAGGAGCCAGCCAATCCATCCAGGTTTCCCACACAAACAGCGGGCAAGGACTTAAGGCATCCCTGCCACCTGTCACCATCAGTGTTAGTAGGAGGCTGGAGTCAGGAGCCAGAAGTGGGAGTTGAACCCAAGTACTGTGTCTACAACTGCCAGTCCAAACACCTGTCCCTGAGTCCAAACTTATCATTTTTTTACCCCCGCCCCTATGGACTTTTCAAAGAAGCCTCCTATAGACCCTGGGATAGGGAAAGCTATAGTTGTATAAAGGGAGAAGCCTGGGGAGGGGCCTGTGCTCCCTGCTAAAAGCTTCCTAAAGCTAACTTGCAGAGTGCGCCCACCCCCTGAAGCAAGAAGTTAACGCTCACAGCTTGGAACTGTCTTTACCCATGGGAATTATTTTTGCGTCTGCTCAGATGGCTTGGTTGGGTGGCCATGGCGGTGCTGGCTGTGACTGCGGGTTAGCACGGGCACAGCCGAGCGATGGCAGTCCTCCAGCTTATTTGATCTGCATAGACAGCGGAGAAGAGAGCACTTCAGGCTTCCAAGTCCAGAAGGAGTGACTGCACTGATCAAACGGCTCTGGGCTGTTGTCGCATCTCCTGGATTTCCAGGGAGCCCCAGTTTGCCTTTGTTCATTGTCAAGGCTGAGGCGCCAACGAGCGAGGTCTGAGGCCTGCTGCTGCTCACAGGGCCTGTCCTTGGCAAACAGGTCCTGGGAGAGGGTGTCGCATGGTCCTAAATGTCTCTGTTCTTTTTGTTCCCTGTGCTCCTCGTTCCCTTCCCTTGTTCAAAATCTGAGAATCTGCTAGTCCTGTTTGCCTCAGTAAAGCCCTGGTTGAAGGCAGGGTGCTATCACTGTGTTGGTGTCTTTAGAACACTCCATGGGGGCAGGTCTGGGAGGGTGGGGGTCTCTGGGTGTTTGCAGAGACCCTCAGGGAAGACCCAGCTTCCTCTGGGGTGGGGTTGTGTTGGACATCTGCCTGCAGCTGGGTGATAAGGATTAAATGAGATAGTGTGCAAACACCCTATGCTGTGCTGGGCAGATTGTGAACACTCAACAATGCTTCTGTCTCATTGCTGAAGAAGTTTCTGGATCATTACTGGGTACTGAATCAATAAAGAAATGAATATATATATGTTCTAGTTTTGTTGAAAAGGCAGATATACAGAGAGCAGGAGAAATAGAGAAAGATCTCGTGGATGGTTCACTCTCCAAGTGGCTAAGCCAATCCGAAGCAAGGGGTTCTTCCATGGTGTAGGAGGACATTGTGACCCTAGAAGGTCAGTGAGCACAGGATTACACTTCATTGGACAGTATTTGCACGAGAACAACCAAATGGCTACCTTTTGTATACCTGATGGGAGATCATTTGTATAAGAATGGTTGAGTGGACAGCAGGTGAATGAGAACACTTGGTGGAATATACAAAACAAAAGGAGTTCCAATCAAGAGTATGGAAATAGCTGATGGGTCTTGTTGATAAGCTCAATACTTCCTCCCTTATCCCATACGGACTTTCAGTGCATAAAGTCTGATGTCACTAATAAATTTCAGCTTTTGACCATCCGTCAGGGTACATGCGTGTTATTATCGGCTCCGAGCACCAAGTCCATCACTGCGGGACAGTGACACATGGGGTTGCAGGGTCCCAAGGCTTTGGGCCATCCTCTGCTGCTGTCTCAGGCCACAAGCAGAGAGCTGAGTGGGAAGTAGAGCAGTGCGGACACAAACTGGCACCCATATGGGATCCTAGCAGATGCAAGGTGAGGATTTAACCACTAGGCTGTCATGCCCGGTCCAGACTTTCACCCTTCACCTTTTAATGAGAATTGTAGTTGCTGGGGGTAACTTCCCCTGTGCAATTAAAAAAAACTCAGCTGATTTAACCTTTTGAGTAGATAGCACATTCACAAGGCTTAAAAATATGGGGACTGGTGTTGTGGAGGTAGGTTAAGCCACCGACTGTGATGATGATGTTGAGGAAGTGGGTTAAGCCACCGGCTGTGATGATGGTGTTCCACATGAGTGCTGGGTTCGGGAGTTGGATGCTTCACTTCCCATCAAGCTCCCTGCTGATGTGCCAGGGAAAGCATCAGAAGGTGACCCACGTACCTGAGCCCCGTACCTGTGTAGGAGACTGCAATGGAGTTCTAGGCTGCTGGCTTCAGCTTAGTCCATCCACAGCCATTGAAGCCATTTGGGGGAATGAGCCAGCAGATGGAAGATTTCTCTTTGTCTTTCCCTCTCTTTCTCTGTAATTTTGCCTTTCAAATTAGGCAATAAAAAAGTAAATCCTCTCCCACTCTCCGTTTTTGTTTGCCAATTTCTCTCCCTACCTCTGCCCCACTGTAATCATTGCAGTTGCTATTGCCTCCCAGGACCTACGTTAGCAGGAAGCCAGAGGCTGGAGTCAGAAGACAAACTCGGGCACTCAGATACGGTGGGCGAGGAGGTGGACGTCCTAACTGCCAGACTGACTGCCCACCTCTACAAATCTATTCCTAGACCTCCTTTTGTATCCTTAGAGCAGCCCACTGTAACTGTCCCGTGCTTAGCAGTTTTCAATTAATATTTCATGCCACAGATCTCTTCCTGAAGCGCCACCATCCAGCATTTCCTTGCTCTGCTGTCCACAGAATAAATGCACTGATTTGAACTCACCCCCTCTTGGATTGTTCCCAGTGACTCACCTTTCTCAAAGAACGTTGTAATGACCCTGTAGCTGTGGCATTTCTCATGCAATTAAGGACACACGCAAGGCACAAACTTAGAAGTGGCATTGCAGGGTCAAAGGCAAACATTAGTGGGGGGAGTGCCAAATGCCTCCTCCAGGCGCTGTACCAATTCAGCATTCCCAGGTGGTGTTTTCATTCATGCTTTCCACTCAAAGATGGCTTGAAAGGCTGTGTCTCCAGACACTTCAGGCATGGGGGAAAAAAGAGGGTAGGACCAGAAGTCCCAGGAAAAGATGTGGCTGTCAATTCTGTCTGTGTTAACAACGCCTTTGAATACTTGGCGAGCAGCAGCTGATGTCACACCTGCTGTGGCTCCTGCGTTCTAGCACTTGCCCAAGTCGGCCTTGGGG